CTTGTCATGTTGTTTACTGGTGACCACTATGGTCTTTGGGCACCATACCAGCTTACTTGTACAAGTATGGTGAATAAAACAGGTAGATACTTATATATAATGTGTGTACATATCATAATAACACCACAAACAGTATTGTTGGAGGAGAAATATTAGTGTGTCTAGCCTTGAGGTCGGCCGCCACCAGCTGACTGTGTGAATAGCTACATCTTTGTGCCTTTACTCACCATACAAGCTTAGATGTACAGTTATGGTGAACAAAACATGTAAATACTTATATATAACATCTGTATATAAAAGCAAAAACAGTATGGTGGGAGGAGAATGTGGGCGAGTGAGGTGTTGAGGGAGTGAGTGGCAGCGAGTGGCTGGCTGGTGTGTGGCGGTCACTCGTCGTTACTTTTTGACTCATAATACCAACTTAGTGGTTCGTTATGGTGAACAAAACATGCAGATACTTATATATAACCTGTGTATATAGTGTAATAACCGGCAAAGTATTTGTTCACTGTTTGATGAACATAATAATTGAATCAACAATATGCACACCATATTTTTGAGTACAGCGATGATTCACTCATTTTATTATATAAATATATCACACTACACACTATTGAATAATATTACAGCAAAAAACTAAGAAAAGTCAATCAGAGACATTGAAATAATTAGGTAATTATCTCTTTGTGGCCACTCCTGTCTGACAGCTGGCGAGCACCAGACCGCCTGGGATGCACGCTGAGTCAGCGCCTGTTTTTTGCCAGAATTCCCCACCCTATAGCGGGCAATATATGCCACTTACGATTTTTTTATTATTTTTCCCATGATCAGTGAACACAAATTAACAGGTTTAGAAGAAAAAATATTTTTTTGTTTTTTAATCAAGCATCAACAACCCAAAGACCCGATCGGAAAGCAGCAGATTCATTCTTCCCCAGAAAAGAAGATGGCTGCAAATGAACAAAACAACCACCAGGACCAAAAGAGCAGAAACCCCTGCGCCGCAGAAGAGCATGAAGCTCCCCGACCCGACCCCCAGAGGTCAATGCCAACAAGAAAAAGCGCTTTAGAAAAGCAGTCGTGAACCAAGGGGGCCCACCACAAACCGAAGAGAAAAGAGAAAAGAGAGCACCCGGTCCAATGACCAGGACGACTCAGGCGGCGCAAGAGGAGGCCGGAGGTGAAACAACGCCTGAGAGAGCTTGTGGAACGGAGCAGAAGTGACATTGACCCCGAACGCAAGCTGAAGCGGCTCCTCCAGCACTGCACGAAATGAGGCGACAGTATTTGGCATAAGATGACAAACAGATGAAATCACAAGATGATTTCTTGGTCCTGAAACAACCAAGAGAGAAAGACAAAACAACCCGATCAGATATCGAAGGCAACCTACGAAGAGATAAAAAGTGCCAAAAGGACCGCAAGGAAATTTCATACTGCCGTAGAGACGAAACTTGCAAGTGGGACACCATCAACTAAGCCACCTGATCACCATACAAGTGGTGATAAACCCGCGTCAAAAAGACAATACGCAAAAAGCAGAAGAGAAGATCGAATCAGTCACGTATGGTACTGTACCGATCTGCTGACAGGGGCGGAGCCGCGGGAAGCCCCTCAGGTTCGGACATTGAGCAAGCCGCGCCTGAAACCAAGGCTGGGCCGGCCATCAAGGGGCCAACAGGACTACTCTTCCCTGGTAAGTATCCAAGCGAGCCAGGACCCGGAGCAACAACCAAACTGGTGGACAGAGGTACAGGTAACCCCACCTCGACCAGTCCAGCCGAAAGGCATCGACCCCAACGGCCTCGCAGTTGGGGAAGGGTGCCATGTACTGTACATTGGAAGATGCCGTGACCACACCGATGTGAAGAGGTCCACCTCCGGGCGCCCGTACGTCTGGTAGAGCCAACAGAGCATGTCGGAGTCGACTGTCCATTCCATGGAAACGGGGAATGAACCGAGATAGGCAGACCACCATGACGTTTGACAACCCCTGAACGTGAACCGCCTGGAGGGCCAAATCCCAAGAACTAAGCAGATGAGTCACCCGAAGCAACCAGCCCCAAAGAGCTAAGGATGGCATCGAACCCCCGCGGTTCATCTGAACCACAGGGGAGCAGTCCGAATGGAGATGGATTGTTCGCCCAAGCGAACCCACTCCCAGGTGATCTGACAGTGCAGGGAAAGAGGCCCACCCTACCAGCCCCAATCCCTCCGAAGGAGGAGGAACAACCCAATACCATCACAGTCCAGAGGAAACGACCTGAAATGCCCTTAATTTATAGGAACAGGCGAGAGCTAACAGCACAAGCCTCCCCCTTATTGCTCCGTCAACAGGGCGAACCACAAAAGGGCCGACGACCCCTACGAGAGCTCAACCAACGCTCGGAGTGATTACTGCGCCGACCAGACCCCAATGGCTCCACAGGAGGGACCGGCTCTAGCACTACTGGCTTATGACGACTGAGGGAACCCCGAGACCTGGCACGACCCTTCTGGGCAGGACTACCACGGCTCCCTTTCCCTGGAGACCCAACAAGTCCGACATAGGCCGGCAACTAGACGAAGCTGCCAGCAGAAAATGCACCACCACAAACTTTGGAAACAGCAACGGACAAAAAGGGGATGAAAATCTAAGAGCCAGTGTCAAGGCAGATTCCAAAGAGTGGACAAGCACCACTTGTCGGCATGCGAGGCAAGAAGCAAAGAACAGACACACCTCCTACAGAATCGGGCTGTACAACTTCAACAAGCCAGCCGACACCCGAGCTGCTGAAGCAAGAACACCGGAAACCGGCCTGGAACCCAGCTCCTCCACATCCTCCCCAAGCCAGTCCGAAGACAGCTCCAGCAGGGAAAAGAAGCACAAGACCAAAGCAAAATGCCCACGGGCGTGCAAATCCTAGGACACCAGGGATGCCGAAAAGGAGGAAACCTGCATGTGAAGCTTCACCTGGCCAATATCACAAGGTAGTACAAGGATGAACAAGTACACACTGAGGTGCTCAAACTCGCCCCCCAGGTAAACCTGAACGACCATAGTCAACTCCTGCCATTCAAGCACGCAGGTCCGACAGAACGAATGCCAAGCCCCCAACCAAAAGAAAGAGCAGTCTGCCAGCCAGGAAGACTCCGACACCTTGTAACACACCCAGTAAGGAAAAGCGAAGCCAAACTCAAAAGAAGGATCCATTATCGAGGCGTAATCCGGGTCTCGCAGGATGTAAGCTGCAAGGGCCTTCCACACCTCCCTCGGTGGGATGCAGGAAGCCGAAAACCCTGGGAGAGATCCAAAGAACCCAAGGGAACCCAGAACCGAATCCAGGGAGGACTCAAACTCATATCAAACAGGGATAGGAAAACTCCTCCCCCTGTAACAACAAACCCCGTACCAAGGGTACCAACACCCCAAGTGGGGTCAAATATGGCCCAAACCCACCAAGTCAACTCCTTCCTAGCCCCGGGATCCTCCACATCAGGACCCGGGGCCAAGCCATCCTCCAAACCTTCTGCCTCAGGAGAAAAAGCAGAGTCCACCAGAAAAGCATGGATGAAGGGGCCTGCTGGCACGACCCAAAAGTCCCGGTAGGAGGAACAGGCTTGAATGCTTTTGCCACCGATCTGGAAGGGGTAATCCCCGAAGCTGCCCGAGTCTCATCACCAAGCATACCCTGCCCCGACTCCCACATTCAGATGTTTGGGAGCCAGGAGAATGGGGGATGGAAGCAAGATGAACCACAGCAGGGAAAGGACTAGGGGGGCGTGGACAAAACAAAATTCGAGGCAACTAACAACCCCAAGTCCGGGTCCCTATAAACAAAGCGAGGCAGCTGTGGGGCATCTGGAAAGGCAACAAACCTCACACATTGCAGCTGCTTAAATCTCGCATACAATTCTGAAGCTGCCTAAACTTCGCATGCAATTCTGAAGCTGCCTGCACCCAAATATCAATATCAGTGAACTGGGTAATTACCTAAGTGTAGTTACAGGATGAGAGCTACACTCGTGGTGTCCCGTCTTCCCAGCACTCTTTGTCATATAATGCTTTGTATGGGTGTATTGGAGTACAAGCAAGGAACACCACTCACAGGACTCCGGGTCAAAGCTATCATTGACAGCCACACCAGGCAGACCCCCCCACCAGGCAAAACAATACAAAAACAAAAGAAAAACTCCATAAAAGTACAAAGTCTCTAGGGTAAAAAAACGGTCGCTATGTGTATATCAGACAACTGCACAGTACCTTGTGCACCAGCCAGCGACGAAACTACCTGCTACCCAAGGCCAAATCAGCAGTAAGAATCCCAAGGACAAGCAATCACCAAGCAGCGACAGAACCTCACAGAGGTAGTTCCCGAATGGCTCAGTGGAAGATAACCATAAGCTGCAGGGGCAGTACTCAGAGGGCACCTAGGGAAGGTGGCCCTAGGTGCATGCAGCCCCAGTACTCTTGTATTACACCTGGCTCGCACACCATTGACATAGACGAACAACACCGCTCGTCTGTGTTGTTCCCAGACCTCCACGGCGTGGAGGTCTAGGACCCCCTGTCCCCCTCCCAGGGAGGGGGGAGCTGTGCAGACGGCTGCACAGCAGCTGTGGCTGCATCACGCTTGTTTGGTCGTTTTTGATTGGGGAGTTCTGCTTGCTAGTTCGGCTTCGGTTTGCAATTTTTGACCAGCTGTAGTTTGTTTTGGAATTCCTACCTTTCTGGGTGCCTGACCTAGTAGATGGCAGATATAGACTGATTCCAACTACATGGGGGTGTCTATAGGCCATTGCTCCTCATGCCTCTCTTGAGGGCCAGGTTCTGGCTCTGGTCTCCAGTAGGCCTAGAACTCCATCGATTTACTGTTGTCATGATCTAATATATGCACATTAGACCGGTATAGCTCTGAGGAGCTGAAGGGGCTCTGCACAGAAATAATTAATAGCATTTATCTGTTAAGGGAATCAATATTCTGTAATTAAAATTTATTACTATATAAGTAAAATCATACCTCTATTTTTTTTAGTTTTTCTGAAATGTTGAGAGTCTTATTGAATGTTTCCACACGCACTTTAAATGTCTTCTCACGAACTAGATGCTGCTTAATCAAGTTCTCTGGAAGAGATCTGACACTTGAGTGAAGTTCAGCCTCAGTTTTTCCTTGACCCCTGCAATGTGTAACTGTATAAACTCTTCAGATGCCAAGATATTTACTTATTTTTAAACTGACTTATCACGGCAATGCTACATCCTATAAATAACATGCAACGTGAAAAATGAAAAACCCACCATCAAATGTAATGAAATGCCAATTTCTGGGCGAGTCCCAGTAGCTCCCTGACACTCTCTCTTCCCCAGGGGGGTCAGATTCTTACATCATTTGTCGAACTGATGATGGAGCAGCCGGTAAACCATGGCCTGCCTCCCTTCCTCCCGCCAAACAAGGGAACAATACAAGTGTGCTAATTTTATAACATTTTCGATCATTTCTTTACACAGTTTGGGAAGTTCTATGGCCGTTTTCAAGTATGCAGGTCTTGGAAGCAGCCACCTGTGGTTTGTTTTGACTCGCTGACTTTTTGGGTGCCATTCTCAGTGGTGGCATACATGAATAACTTAATACTGTATAAACCTGCTAATCTGGACTATATGGGATGGACCCCAGCCGGATTAGCACATTTTCCAGATTAACGTACTTTTTCACCAGGGGAGTCCAAAAGTGATCATTTCCAAAAAGTTTGTAGACACCCACTTGATTTGCCAACTTAAGTTATCCGAAAGCAGGCAGGTAGTGAAGGAGGGAAAGGAAGGATGGAAATAAGTAAGTAAATAAGTCAGTCAGTCAGTAAGTCAAGGAGAGGTAGTGAGGGATGTGTTATGAAGTCAGCGTGAAAATTCGCTGACGAAGCCTCCTGCCCATATTAAAATTTATAACTTAGCTTTAAGCCATTATATGTTGATTTTCGTGTTAAGTATACAGTATTACGATACATTAATAATCATTAACATGTTTTATTGCTTCCTGTTTATTAATTAAACATATACATTTTTATTCATGAATTATGAACATTTGAACTACGTGACCAGTGGAGCAGAGTATGTGTATGGGATGTCGGGTGGGGGGGAGGTGTGTCGGTGGTGGGGGGAGGGATGGGCTCACTCTGATAACCCTATCACACTCCACCCTGTTAGCTAGATTTGTTTCTTAAATTCTGGATGTCCCTCATAATATATATTTTTGGTTACAGATTTTGCTTAGTAATATTATTAGGATAATAAAAAACCAGCGTTGAATGTAATGAAACGCCATTTTCTGGGTGAGCCCCGGAGGCTCCCTGGAGCTTATCGGGCTAATGTATGTTATATTAGACCAGGACATTAGCTAAGGAGTTCAGACCTACCAGGGACCAGCGCCAGAACCTGGCCCCTTCAGAGAGGTTTCAGGGAGCAATGACCCTGGAAAACCTCCTTGTGGTTGGGGTTTTCCTTATCTGCCATCGACTGGGGTTAGGCACCCAGAAAGGTAGGCATAACAAAACAAACCCCACATGGTAAAAACTAAAATAAAAAAAACGAACAGAGAGGTAGAAACTCCCTACAATCCCAAGGAAACAAGCAAAGAAGCAAACATCACACTTTACTGCCGCACCAATCGTTCGCGCAGCCCTCCCCGCCCTGGGAGGGGGAGGGGGTGAGCCCCAGACCTCACCATGCCGGCTGCCTAGCATTAGTTCAGAAGCTTAGCTTCAACCAACGCGTAAAAAACACCGACCGGTGGGAGGGAGGGTTGCCAGGGAGCCTCCGGGGCTCACCCAGAAAATGGCGTTTCATTACATTCAACGCTGGTTTTCTGTGGGGAGCCCCTACAGCTCCCTGGAGCTTCATACCCAAAGAAAAGGAAAAGAAAGGGCTGACCCAGGAGGCAGCCGCCACAAACTCTGCAATGCGAAGCCGAGACAACAGGCTGCAACCTGCGACCCAAGGCAACAAGAACACACAGGAGCAGACACGCGCATAAAGAATGGGCAGCCAGGAAGCTGTGCGACCCTCAAATCCTCATGCCCGAAATGAGCCCTAGATGTCACGAACACAGCAGGGAAAACTGCAAACGTCCGAACAGCATGGGCGCAAGGATAGACCGCAGGCTGGAAGACTTAAAAACTCTGCGGACAACCTGGGAGATCCAAGCCCTGAAACAGGGAACGAGGGGAACCTGATCAACCCAAAGCACATCCCCAGGTAATGGCAAAGAGGTGCAACCGGACAACACAGGACGCACCCCCGGCCGAACCAATCAAGCATCAATAATCCAAGGCTCCCTCCAGAAAGCAGCCATCTCGACCGTCGCCAGAAGGACTGAGAAAGGCTGCAAACGTACAAACCTATCACCAGTACCAAAGAGCAGAAACCTGAACCAAAGGGGCTTACACAAACTGAGGAGATGATAAGAGGGCACCCTGATCAAGGACCAGGACGGCTCAGGCGACGCATGAGCAGGCCGGAGGTGAAACAAAACACGAGAAAGTGTATGGAACGGGGCAGATGTGACGTCCACCCCGAACGCAAGCCGGAGCGGCTCCGCCAGCGTCGCACAAAATGAGGCGACAGTAAGAAACATCAAATAACTGTAGTCCTGAAAACCCAAGAAAGGACAAGACAACCTGATGCGAAAGAGAAGACAACTTACAAAGAGCAAGAAAAAAAGTGCATATAAACACCAGGAACGTCATACTGTCGCCGAGACGAAGCTCACAGGTGGGACACCCTCAACAAAGCCACCTGCTCACCACAGAGATGGTGATACCCGCATCAAAATACCAGACACGAAGAGCCGAGGAGAAGGCCGAACCAGTCACATACAGGACCGGTTCTACCTGCCGAAAGAGGCAGAGCCGCGAGAAAACGCCCCGGGTTCGGACACCTATCAAACAGTGTCTGAAAATAAAACTGGGCCGGCCACCAAGGGACCATAAGGACTACTCTCGTGGGAATAGGCTCCAACCGAGCCAGAACCCGAAGCAACAGCTGGACCGGGAGAAGAGGAACAGGTACCCCCGCCTCGACCAGTCCTGCCGAAAGGCATCCACCGTGAACGCCTCGCAGGCGGGTAAGGGCGCCACATAGAATGGGCGACGCCTAGACCACGCTGACTCGAAGATGTTCATGGCCAGGAGTCCATACGTCTGGCAGAGCCAACGAAATGAGTCAGCGACGACTGGCCAATCCACGAACAGAGGAATGAACCGAGACAGGCTGTCCGCCAGGACGTAGGACACACCCCGGACATGAACCTCACGGTTAGCCAAACCCCGAGAATCCAGCAAAGAGCCACTCGAAGGGACCAACCTCACAGGTCAAACACCTAAGAGAAACCCTGTGGTTCCGGCAAAGAACCGCCAGAGAACAGTCCGAATGGAGCTGAATGGTAGAGCACCGAGTGACCCGAACCCTCCGAAGCGCAAACCAGACAGCCACAAACTCCCGAACCATGATGTGAACCCGACAGATGGACAGACCCCACCATCCCGGGCTGACCTGGTGAGCACTGGTCACAAAGCCCCAGCCGAGAGATGACCCGTTCGTGAACACATCGAGCGAAAGCTCGGGGAGGTGCCATGGCACGGAACCCCGAAAACCCCAAAGAGGAAGCTGGTGACGCAGCACCAACACAAGATCCCCGGAGGAACGAACCCAACGATTGCAAGAGAGGCGGAAGGGGAGTCTCTGAAGGAACTAAACTTCGTTCCTCTGGAACGAAACCAAAGAACCCAAAGGAACCCGGAATCGAACCAGGGGGAGCCCAAACCACCACATTTGCCGGCAGAGATACACCACAGAAAGGCAAAGCACAGCCCCCAGACAGAACCCCCAGGGAAATGGTCATAACAGACCGAAAACCGAGGGACAAGGTGTGGGAGCAAGCATAACAGACAGGGACACTGAGCCCAAACCCTAGGGCCCAGACCTAAAACAGACAAAACGGAAACCTAGTGTAAAATCAACACTCAAACATTCCCAGAGGAACAGAAAACTGGCAGAAAACACCAGAAAAGCAAAGAAACGACAACAGGAGAATAAAACTCCTGAAAAAGATGAAAAAACTCACCCAAGACGCTCGCTTGCACACCCAGGCGCATGTAAACAAACCACAACGCCGCACTGGTGGCCACACCGGGAAACCAGCAAAAGAAAATGGCCACCAGAACAGGGCTGTGACCGACACAAAAGATATGAAAACACGCCAGCAAAGTGGGAAGCAAGCAGCCTGGATGGGCGAAAAACTCCGCCCAGAAGCAGAAAACCCAGGCAGGAGCAAACTGTCCCAGAACTGCTAGCAGGCATCCCCCACAGCCCCGGGAACCCGCAACAGAGGCCTTGGGGCAGAACCGGCGTCCAAGCCTTCCGCCCTTAAAGAGAAGGAAGAGTCCATTGGAAAGGCAGCAAGAAAGGGCCGCTGGTAAGACCCAGAAGCCTTGGCAGGAGGAACAGGCTCGAAAACTTCCGTCCCCAACCAGAATGGGGCAGCCCCTGAAACCGTCTGAGTCTCTGCCCCAACTAAACCCCGCCCCGACCCCGAAACACCGCAGATGGTCCGGAGCCGGGAACAGGGAGGAAAAGGGGCGAAAAGCACCACAACGGGGCGGCCTTGGGGCATACGAGTGGGAAATCAACCTAGCGTGTTGCAGCAACCTAACCTAGCTTGCAACACGGATGCCGCCCGTACTCTGAACAGTAATAACATCAGGAGAGTACTGGAGAACAAGCAGAGAATATATCTTGCAAGACTCGAGGTCAAGGTGTCAGTGACCCAACAGGCAGCATGACAGAGGTAAAAGTGACGAATGTCAGCCTGAGACAAGGGCACAGAAGCCAACGATCCCGTACAAGACGGGTTGGAACCCAGAAGACACATTCAATGGTCCACCAAGCCCCGACAGGTGTTTCCAGGGCCCGTAGGGGTAACAACTACGGGAAGCCCGGGCCAGGTGTTGCTAACTGGTTAAGAAACCCAAAAATAACAAGAGGGTAGAGGACAACACTGAAAACCCCTGCGACCTATACAATCACAGGAGCCTAGCAGAGGGCCACCAAACACTACCAGTGGAACTATAGCCACACTAGGCAGACCACCACCAGGCAAATGAAATAAAAACAAAAGAAAAAACCC